GAACTTGTGCTACACTCAGCTGATTTCATCTTATCCTCAATTTATCCTCAGGTTTATATTTTTAACTTATCATTTTTAGACAATGAATTCCAGGTCATTTTGCAGAGTAATGCAAAACAGATGACAAATGACTTTCTTCGGTATGAAATCAAGGAAAGATGATGACTACTGTGTAGTATATTACTTTTTTGAGTGGCCCAATACTGATTACAGGATATTAGCCAAGACTTAGTAGCTTCGTATACAGGCGCTCGTTCACCTCCAGACGAGGTCATCAGATCTAATGATGGAGGCTCTGTGCTGAACTCCGTTTGTGCTTGGCAGGTCAGCCCGGTGCCGTGTCATCGTCAGGGTCGTTTCTCCTGCAAGCGACCCTGCGGACGACCTCTGACCTGCGGCAACCACTCCTTTAGCAGAGAGTGTCATCTGGTTAACAGCGGCAATCCAGTAAGGACCTTCTTTAGATGTCTTTTAATGAAATCTGATGAAATAATAAATGATGGTACCAACAGAAACTGCTGTTCCTCTGTCAGCCACTTGAGACTGGCACCAAACACTGGGCGGTCCCCAGAGACTGTAAATAACAGATGGATGTAGCTGCTAGGGCAAATAAGTCACGATAATACCCAGACACTCCTGAATGGCTGCCGCACTCTTTTCCTGCTTGGCTCTTGTCACTGTGGGAAACACACAGTGAATCAATCTGGCTGAGTTCCAGCCCTGCCCTGAGCCTGTCCCTGCAAGCTCACTGTGTCACCGCTTCGCACCGTTTCACCGAACACTAACATGTTGGGACTGGTTAGCATCCCTGTCACCACATGTTACATATAATTCTCTGCTCTGACTTACTCATACTTCTGTATAAGGAGCAGCTTCAGTTCAATTTAAGCTTTGAATGAGGTGAGACAGAATTAAGGTTAAAATGCTGCAGAAACATAATAAAAGCAACAGAATGATAACACTGAAACGGTAACAAATCAAATCAAATCACTAGAAATGGGAGGAACTAAAGAAGTGTAAATGTGTTTTCATTCCCAGTTACATCACTGATATGTTGCCAGTGAACCTGATTGGTGTGAAATTTCCTCCAGCCCTTTCTTTTTAGTACCACCTACTTTTCTAGCCTTTTGTTTTCCACTTCCCAACTTTTCGAGACATTTTATGACTGTTAAGTTTAAGCTTTTCTCATCTTAAGCATTTGAAATGTTTTCTATGTTCTGTAGCTCATAAAATATGGGCTTTTTAAGTTGGCAGAGAACTGCATCCTGTTTCACATTTACATTTCAGAACAGTTCAGCAGTTTGCACTTTCATGAAAGGACTGTTTTGAATGTGCAGTCTAAATAAAATAAACCTCCACAAAAGGGTTGTTTTCATCTGTTGTGAATTTGGTTAAGTAGCTCTATATATGGAAGATGATAGAGGAAATGGAGAAGGGAGAAAATAACTCAAAGATCAATAGCAATCTAAATATGTACAGAATTACCTGCGAGTGCAGCCATCAAGATAGTGGAAAACAACAACGTGGTGCAAAGTGTTGCAGCAGCCATTTCCACGTTCTCTGCTGAACTTTCCTTCACTTGTTTTAAATATCCGAGGATTTTGGTATTTTCAAGAAGTTACAGATAACCCAAGTTTAAACCCAATGAGATTATTTTAATTTTAAAGTTTAAATGCAAGTTTTAATAAAACTCACTGACTAAGAGAGCAGACAGACATCCTAGGAAAAACTGTGATGTGCTGTGATTTGTTGAGACGCTGAGGAGGAGTTGCATATTTACGAGTTGCTTCCGGGACATAAGTATTTTAAACAGATTTTAAACAGAATCTTTTCTGTTTAAAATCTGTTAATTGAATGATTTGTAGGACTTTATTCATTGTTTTAGAGGCTGGACTGTAGGGTAAAAAATAATTACATTACATAATCTGACTCACCCATCTAACTGGAGGTTCAAACCTAGATCAACATATCTACCATGTATGCAGATCAATACCATTTAATGCTTTAAACACAAACAGTGTCACTTTATCCTGGATTCTGTAATACACAGTGAGACAGAACAAGGCTGCTGTGATCTCTCTTTTTTGTCCCAGTCAGTAATCTGGCATTAGGCTAATGACTGTAGTATGCAGTGCATTGCAGGTGTCCAGTTTACATGTGAAAAGGCATGCATAACCCTTACCAAATACATTTTCAGTCTGGTGATTGTTCTAAAGGCTGAAAGACGTCACTGTTGTTCTGCAGGCGTCTCTGAAACCATCAAGCTCTCTTCTGCTCATCAGGAAGGAAAAAATATCCACAAAGAAAAAACAGTGTAAGGTCAGTATGTCTGCTTTTTTAGGTACTAAGAGAAAACTCATATTTTGTTCCAGTCAAGCAAAACAATCAATAAAAAGGTAAAAAGTTCATAAATTCAAAATGAAAAAATAAAACACAAGTTTCAAATCTACTGGTAAAGTGGTCTTTACCACATTACCATACACCCAAAATGCACCTGTACTTCCCTGACAACCTTTTTAATGACAGAAGTGTGTGACATCACCAGTAAGAAACCAGTTTTCATGGGCTTCCACCTTTTTGAATCTGAATCACAAGGTTGACAAATGTTTCAAAGAAAGCTTTTCATTTGATCCCAAATAAAAGAAGTGAAAACAAAGACCTGACAGAGTGCAGCAGCTGCTGACTGCAAACATTATTAATGCTCTTTTTTTAAATTATTGAAGCTCTGAGACACTCGGTAGTGAAAGCATGAACCTGTTTCTACTGCTACTGCTCCACTACGTCCAGCGGGCTTAAAGCAGATTTCAAACAGTGATCACAGGAGTGGGCCGTGGTCTCTGCTGCTGTAAATAACACATTATGATTAAGGCTTTTTTAGAGCAGGGTGTTACTTCTTAGCCAAAAAAACTATAACCTCTGTTAAAACTCATCTTTGTATATTTTTTTGGATTAACCTCATTTTGAGACTTCTTGATTTTTCTCCTGACACATGAAACCTAATAAATGTAAAAGGTTGTGCTTTGTTTTGCACATGACTACAAATGAATACTTACAAGCACAAACATGCACAAGCATGACGTTAGATTGACACATAACGGTCAGAGGATCCTGGGATTTCACCCGAGGGACTGAGCTGATTAAACACACAAAAACACACAAAAGACTGCACTGCAGTCATTTTTATTTCAGGCTAGGCTAAATGTTGTATTTGTGGAACTTTAAAACAAATATTCACAGAACTAGCACAATCATTTTGATATCTTATTTTTGTACATTTTTGTGTGTGTGGTGGAAAACTTTAGAGAGACGTATGGCACACAGACACACACATCTTTGCATGACTTGAACAGTTGCTTAGCTGCCAGGTTTCTGGATGATTCAGAGTCTCCTGACATGAAGTGACATATATGACACTGCCCCCAAACACACACGCACACCAGCATCAAGGCCAAGCGACAGCCCTCTCTTTATCCTCTCC